TCTCCTCTCCTCTCCTCTCTTGTCTCTCCTCTTTCTTGTCCTCTCTTTTCCTCTCTATCCTCTCTTTCTCTCCTCTTGTCCTCCTCTCTATCCTCTCTTGTCTCTCCTCTCCTCTCTCCTCTCCTCTCTTGTCTCTCCTCTCCTCTCCTCTCTGTGTCTCTCCTCTCCTCTCCTCTCCCTCTCTCTCTCTCCTATCCTCTTGTCTTGTCTCTCTGTCTATCTTTTGTCCTCACTTCTTCTCTCTGTCTTTCTATTGTCTTCTCTCTCGTCTCTCTCCTCTCCTATCTCTTGTCTCTCCTCTCTCTCTATCCTCTCTTGTCTCTCCTCTCCTCTCTATCCTCTCTTGTCTCTCCTCTCTTGTCTCTCCTCTCCTCTCCTATCCTCTCTTGTCTCTCCTCTCTTGTCTCTCCTCTCTTGTCTCTCCTCTCCTCTCCTATCCTCTCTTGTCTCTCCTCTCTTGTCTCTCCTCTCTTGTCTCTCCTCTCCTCTCCTCTGTCTTCTCTGTCTCATCTTTTCTCGTCTCATCTCTGTCTCTTTTCTTGAAGCAAACATGATTCTTGGATGCCATTTATAAACTAGAAAGTGGAAAAAAACAAGGCACCTCTGGTCCTTTCTTTTCCTTTCCTATAAACTCTGCTTGTGTTGTTTTGAACTGTGCAGCTTTGCAAAGAATCAGGACGATGTTATGGAAAAATTGGACTCTTATTAGTTTGTTCAGGGGAACCGTTTCATGTTTTTGGTGATGAAAATGGCTCATATTTATAAAAAACATTTGTCTGCTGTAATGAAGGGATTACATTGCTGAAGCATGGTGTCACACAGAAAACAAAGCCTTGCATGTTTTTCTAATCATACAGTAAGTGATGCCTCTGTAATCCAGCCTGGAAACTCAAACGTCTTCCTTTTTCAGGAGTAAGTGAGGAGTCTGTTTTGAATTAGTGAGACAGACATCGATATTAATGGGATTTACTCGCTGCAACAGCTGTAATTTTCAAGTTAAAGACCAGACAAGGTAGAGTACGAACTAAATGGAAAGAGAGAATTTTAGAAAAAAACTTGAACCCTGTCTCTGTGAGCTCAAAGGACAGCAGGACAGACGATCAACATTCACCACAACATGCAAATAAAATGAGTTTTATGATCAAACGTACATTAAGGGGCAATAACATTTGATTTGCTTTCACATCAGTTTCCTGCAGATGTTTTTAAATGGATATCAGACCCTGACATCTTCTCTCTGTGCATACCCAGCTGGTACTCGAGATAAATCCTCCTCCTATAGTGTAAACCATTGTTGACAGTCACACCTAGAGGCTATTGTACACGAGCGTCAAGTGGGCAGCCCGTTGCCGTGTAGGGACCGTGTAGGGGGAGACGCAGAGCCGGACCGAGACAAAGACCTCTGATTGACGTGTGAACAATGGAGCGGGCACACAGCAGCCTCCTGACTGAGGGACCAGAGGGCACAATGGATCCTTTTCTGTAGCGCCAGAGGAGGAAGAGCTAGCATGTTAGCTTAGCTGCCCTGAGAAAGTGTTGTAAACCTGCAGTTTGCATTAGCTCTAGCAAGAAAGAACAAACTTATAGATGGATGTTTAATCTTTGCTGGGCTACTTTTAAATCAGGTTTTAAATTAAACATTTTGACCTCATAAAAAGTCAAACTTCAGAGTGAATTTCTGAGCCATATTTGAACTTTCTCTCCTGTATCTGTTGAATGAATTGAGTTCTGTAATTCACACAAAAAAGATCAAACTGCAATGACTAATTACATCCTTAAAAGTGACATTATGCTATGGCTATGCTCACCAAAGTGTAGTCCCTCGTAGTTGGTTCTTATATTCTACGTCTTAGGAGAGAGAATATTAGAGAAAGAATAGATGTTTGTGAATATTGTAAGAGCGACACCAACACTTGTGATTTCCTTAGACTTAATTAAGCAGATTTGAGCTGTCTGCTATTTGACTTATACACAAAAGATGAAGACCAATGGCTGCACAATCAGCTGCACAATCAGCTTTGTTGTAATGTGCACATGATCTGTTCTTAAGAGGCTTAAACAAGAAAACTTTTTCTAAATCTGGCAGTTACGGGACAAATGATCCTCTGATAAAAGCGAGTGATTTTTCACACTGCAGCCTCGACGACTCTGAACACTGACCACATGTGCATCCCATGGCATTGTCTGAGGTCGTGCCAGTTTGTGCACGGCTTGACACACACGGTATGAATACTTCCACACAGGGATGAGCTAAGTCTAAAAATGTAAGCACATACAGTACAGCTGCGGTAAAGCATTGTTTGTTTCCAGCTTCATCCTGTGAGGTAGCGTTTTCTTCACTCAGCTCTTTATCTCATTGTCACATTTTATTTTCATATTCCTTCCTTTCTTCCCATTTTTCTTACGGTGAGTTCCATTTTATCTCAGATTTTTAAATTCTGAGTTGCCAATCTGATGCATCAGGTACGCCTCCCTGAAGTCTGAATTCCAACTTTGAAACTCGGAGAACCTTCAATAGGCCGAGTTAAAATCCAACATGGCTGCTATGTTGCTTGTCGGACTGGCAACAGGAATCCGGTTAACTCTGGTGTGAGGTCATTCCCATCTCTGAGATCCAATTTCCGAGGTAAATTGAACGCACCATAACTTTGTGTGTGTTGTAGTCAAGACCAAACTAATCGAGACCAAGACATACCCGAGACCAGAGTGATCAGAGACAAGGTCAAGACATTTAGGGATCAAGACGGAGACAGAGACCTTCAAAAAGTGGTCACGACCGGTCTCAAGTACTACAACACTAGTTTGTAGATATGGAAAAATGACCCTACATCATAATTTAATTATTTATTCCTTGAGCCAACATGCAAGTTTGACGGTGTTATTACTGTTTGCTGTTTGTGCTGACACTAAAAAGGTTTATAGGAAACAAGATGATTGACGTAAATTACCAAGGTTTCAACCATTTTAAGCGTCAAAGTTTAGGAAACACTGACACCAAGAAGAGCGTCGAGGACATCTGCCGACAGCCTCGACTTTTGTGTTGTGGTTGAAACTGAAGGCCAAAACATCACACAATGTAGCTTTAAAGTGAAGCTTGAATCAGGATCAGGATTGTGGAAGTATCAGAGATCTTGATTGGAGGTTGGTGTGTGATGATGCGCTCTAATAGTGACATATGGAGAGCGTCTTCCTCTGTGACACTCAGCATTTTTGATTGCCCGATGGATGTTGAACGTGAGATATGTGTGATTGTGGTTTGTTGTTGTGCTGTGCTGCCATTGATGTAAACTGCTGCTTGTAGACACTTGACGTTCCTAACGGATAATTAAAGTTATTTGAAGTGGATGAGGTTCATGTGGCGATCACAGACTCTTCACTGTTTAGAGCTGTTGTGGAATAATTAGCTTTGGAGCTTGTATGCAGAGCAGCAGCAACAGAGGTTTGACAGCTGTGAATAAAGAAACCATTCTTCTGTGGAGAGAAAAACTGGGATCCTGGTTCTCTTTGGAGAGGAAGGAAGTGAGGGAGGGAGGGAGGGAGGGAGAGGGAGACGAATTAAACATAAAAACTCTCTTACTCTTACCAACATACACATTCATTTTCACAGAGCAACATGCACACACCTTTTCCTGCATGACCACTTATTCATCGCCATGTGACAACCTTTTCCAACATCTCTTTCAATACTTCAGTAAAAAGACATCCGACAGGGACAAAAATACAGCAAACATTTAAAAAAGGGTTTTTCTTTCACTATTTAAAACATCTTAAAAAAAAAGAATGTGCAACATTTAACACATAAATAAAACAGAAATGAAGTATGTCCTCAGTAAATGTCTCTCTGAGTCATGACTCACCATAAATATCATTGTATGTGACATTAACACAAAAGTGTGTTAACAAGGAGAGGTACGACTAGATATGACGTGTTTTTATTTAACAAATTATCTATTGACAGAGGAAGTGAAGGTGGGAAATAGTAACATGAAAAACTAGATAGAAACATGAATATCAGGTTAGCTAATAAATAATAATGGCTAATGTTTAACTCGCTGTATAATAGAGTTTGTTGTGATCACACGTTATAGTCCATTGTATTCTTAATATTCTTTTCTTTCCCTTAAACATTAACTTTTTAGATTTTTAGTTAAGATCATTATTACCCTGTTACTCAGTCTCCTGTCTGATGGATGACCCTGAATGACCTCTAAAAACACTTTTACATCCGGCTACTCGGGCTATATTTTTTTTGGTCTCTTTTTCAAAAAACAGGCCGGATTTGAACCTGTGATTTTTTTAAAACTAGAATATTCTGAACTGAATTTGAACATTTCACAGAACTGACTTATTTACTCATGAGTTGAGTTTGAAGCGAAATGATTAACAGTACTCATTTTTCTTAACTACCAAACATTTGGGGAGGATTTGTTCCAAGTTTCTGGCAAAGAAAAAAAGTGAATAAGCAAGTTTTGAAAATGTACGATTATTACATTAAGGAGATTTATTCACATTGTTCTTTGATACAAATAAAAAAATAGATCTTAAATATTGCAAGGTCAACCTGTATCCAGTTGTTTTTGTTTTAATTCCATTAATAAATTCTTGCAAAGCTTTAAAGTTAGAGCTACAGCGATCCTTGTGCCACCTTTTTTTTTTTTTGCAAAATTGGTCGACTTTTTTTTTTTTGACAATTTTCGAGCAAAAATGCCAACGTTTGCGAGTTTCAAGGCATGAGAAGATTTCCTTTCTTCTTTTTTTGATTGCTCAAACAGACTCTTTGGGGTTTTGGATGGTTGAATAAAAGAAGCTGTTATAAAATCTCACTGTGAGGTCATAGGGTATTGTCTTATTTTAGTGTCGTTTTACCTGCTCAAACAAAGAAAACCAAGAAGCAATGTGAGAAACAGAATCTCAGTAATCCTCAAAACACAAATTTAGAAATCTCTGTAATATTTAACATTTGATTAAAATCCTATAATGTCTGAAATGTTTGCCTGCAGGTTTGAGAAGGGGAGGATCTACAGCTACATCGGGGAGGTGGTGGTGTCCGTCAATCCTTACCGTGCCATGAACATCTACGGCCGCGACACCATCGAGCAGTACAAGGGCCGCGAGCTGTACGAGAGGCCGCCGCACCTCTTTGCCATCGCTGACGCTGCTTACAAAGCCATGAAGAGGAGGAACAAAGACACCTGTATCGTCATCTCAGGTAACACTGGAGGAAGCCCCCGCTGCATATACCACTCAAGAAACATGTTTCACCCTCCCGTGCACTGAACAGTTTCAATATATCTCCCAGTTTTCCTCGTGCTTTTGTCTTTAATAGAAAAATAAAGTCCAGCTGTGGTGATCTGTTGTTTCCATTTATGTTTTTAATCCTTTGAGATGTTCTGGAGGGCAGATCCATCCTCAGAAATACTTTAAAGCTAAAAATAAAAAAACACATATTTCATGTGGTTACAAGCTTGTAGCAGCATGGAGAAATCCTGCAGAGAATGCAGCACCACCCGGTGGTCAGAGGCGGTACTGAGCCCGTCTATAACACTGGTGAGAATTCATAGCAAGACTGAAGCAAAGTTTAGTCCAATTATGTGGGGAAAAAAAGAAATATCCGTGCAGTAGTAGATATTTCTGCGTAATCAGGGTTATTTTTTTCAAAAGGGAAAAAAAAATCGACAGAAAATCACAAGGTGAGGCTTCAGTTTCGGATCTTATCTCACAGTTTGGTGTCCATAAAAAATACCAGTAATAACTTTTTTTTTATTTTTATGTTCACTTTTTAGATAAGCTGAATGTGTAGGGGTTCCTTTAGAGTTCAAGGAGTCCCCTGCAAATAATATTCACTTTGGTTTCACTCATTAATCATACAGGTCACAGTGTAGTCTATATCAGTGGTTCTCAACTGAAGGGTTGGGACCCCGAAGTGGGTCGCTGAGCAGCTTTCTGTGGGTTGCGATTGTGCATCTGGAAAAGAAAATAGTTTCACAAATTTTCCATGCTCAGCCACATGTTTTCTACCAACTGCAAAACGTTTCATTAAATAAATCTGATTGGTTGATAAATTTGGGTCGTGATTGTTCATGAAGGAGTCGGTGGTGGGTCATGAAGCTCCACCAGTGGAGAACCACTGGTCTATATAGTACACTCTACTTATTATAAACAAACACCTTAAAGTGAAAATGTTATCTTTTAAATTTGATGTAAGGGGGGTTCATGTTCTTCTTTTTATCAGTTTAGGGTTCTTTAATGTCCAAAAGATTTGAGAAAAACTGAATTAAAATCACTTGAGGTTCTCTTAATATGCAATAAAATAAATATATAAATAAATAAACCTTTGCTTTCATTTCAGGGGAAAGCGGAGCAGGAAAAACCGAAGCCAGCAAGTACATCATGCAATACATTGCTGCTATCACCAATCCCAATCAGAGGGCCGAGGTCGAAAGGTGAGCGGCTTTTTTTTTACGACCTGAAACACTGTGGAACATGTAAACACGCTCAGTGTGGTGACTAAACACCCAACACTGTCAGATAGGGAGGGGTATGTGGAATACTTTTGTTATGATTCACAGCAAAAACATTTCACAGGAAAATGTTTATATTTTGAGTGTAGTCACCCTAGCGTAATCGTAATATGTCCCCTTTAAAATAATATTTCATTGTCTTCCATGAGACACGCTGCTAGAACTTCACGGCTCACTCGTGTTTATTAGACTTTGAAGCAATATATTAACAGGTCGTCACCTTTATTATCTTATCACAGCTCCTCTACTTAGATATAAGTCACCTATTTATTAGTAGTCATCACTCCCTGTAATAAAGTCTCTTAGATCATATTTAGATATTCAGTACTTACATCTGGAAGCTTAAGACTGCAGCTCTGATACCGTTAAAACAGTCGACACCCTCCGTCTAGATGATAGACGGCAGCGTAATACAGATTTACATAACACATTAAAGTGTCAGCCAGATCCATGATCAGGAGAAACCAAGAGATAAGCCTCGACTCAAAGGTCACAGCATGTAGGTCAGAGATTAAGACGTGATTTGTGCAGTGAAAAGGTTTGTAGGTCGACTTCAGTCAGTCACAGACAAACAGCTGGAAATACATGCAAACACATTTAGAAACATCTGGATACACATCGACTGCCTCTGCTCTTATAAGATGCAAATATATGAATCGACACCGCGGTGAGGACGTAGTAGAACAGGAAGTATTTACAAGTCGCTGATTAATGCTTTGATGTGTTTATCAGCTCTTTGCTAATAATGATGTCAACCGAGATCGATCGATAAGAAGGAGGAGTTAAGTATCATAAAAGAAGAGTGACGCGCTGGAGAGGTTTGATGAATGACAGCGCTCAGCAGTACCTTGTCGGCCCATCTCAGATTAGATGAGATACATTATTTACATGTCAACTATATGTTTAAGAATTTACCTCAGTGAAACTCCTGAAGACACACAAGTGAAGAAGAAGAGCCAAAGGGATAAGAGCAGGAAATACCAGGAAGTTACAAGACAGAAAGGACAAAAACTTTAACCAACAATTCACTTCGCAGACGCTTTTATCCAAAGTGACGTACATCAGAGAGTAAGAACAACACAAGCAAGGATCTAGAGAGGAGGAAAAAACATCAGGAAGTGGAAAAAAATCAGTTTTAAGTCCGATTGGACACACAGGTGCTGACAGGAAGTGACCAGAGGAAAATCACAACATCGACAGCAGTTCTTAATCAGCATAGAAACCGTCTTAAAATCAGCGTTATCAAACAAAACCATAGCCTCTTTGTTTTTTCTAGTGTTGTGTTAGGAGTCTGTAGTCTTCCAAGTGGGGTGACCCGGGTTCAAATCCGACCTGTGGCTCCTTTCCCGCATGTGATTGCTCACTCTCTCCCTCTATCCCTGATTTCTGACTCGATCCACTGTCTTATCTCTAAAATACAGACGTTCAAAGCCCAAAAATAAACCTTTATTAATTATTAATTCATCTAGATAGGACAGAGTAGAAGATCAGGAGAGAGAGATCACATGCAGGAAAGGAGCCACAGGTCTGACTTGACCACAGCCTCTGCACACGGGGCTCGACCTCACCCCTCAGCCCTTACTTTGTTTACATCCTAACCTGTTACACATCCTGCCTCCCCTCACAGGGTGAAAAACATGCTGCTTAAATCCAACTGTGTCCTGGAGGCCTTCGGGAACGCCAAGACCAACCGCAACGACAACTCCAGCCGCTTCGGCAAATACATGGACATCAACTTTGACTTTAAGGGAGATCCCATCGGAGGCCACATCAACAACTACCTCCTGGAAAAGGTAAAGACGCAGCCAGTTACTGATGTAGTCGCACCAATGCTGCTGAGAGCAAATGTTCTTTTACTCTTCTAGTCAATAAACACTGCAGATGTTATTGTACCTGAAGTATGTCTTATCTTTTTCTAGTCCTTTCCTAGTTGATATTTTGAATTATTTAAAAGGTTGTTTCAGCCACTCATCTGCTCACAATGTGCTCCAAGTTTTAATCAGCATTTAATCAGATAAGTGGCTCCCAATCTGCGGGACAGATTTCCATGGAAGTTGCAGAAATCAATTCAACCTAATGGTTGCACGATGCAGAAAGAGAGACTGCAGAACTGTCTCTGTTGTAAAGATGGTTTTTGTTTTTACTTCCTGTATTTATGGCCTTTTTCTTGAGAAAACTGTGTCACCCCTTTTTGTTGTTCTGACCTTTTGTTTTCCCTCGAACAGTCCAGGGTGATTTTCCAACAGCCAGGAGAGAGGAGCTTTCATTCCTACTACCAGGTAAATATGTCACTGTGTGTGTGCACCTGTGTGTTTGCATACAAAGACAAAGTATACTCAGAGTGTGTGCATGCATGCAAGCGTTGAATATGAATGAGCCAGATGCTGTTTCTATATGAGCTGTGTTGTTTTTCTCACTGCTCAAGCTGCAGCATGCACATTATATATGACCTAACATGTCAGAAATTACAGTTTACACCGCGTCTGGTAGTGTGTGCTGTAGACCGATAATAGCCTGTATAATGATAGGAAAACACAACAACAGTTACCAATGTGTGCCTACTTTTGTTTTCCCAAATAAACAAAGTTCTTTAGTGTTTTTTTTCTTTGCATTGAACGAGGCAGGCTAGGGATTGCGTGCAAGCTGTCTCAACTCAATTCAATCAGGAGAGACTTCATTAAGAGTGAGGTGAAGGTCGGAGGTCGGAGCGGGCCATGCATGCATGAGAACCGGAGTAACATTTGTGTGTTTCTCTTCCTCCCACCAGCTGCTGAGAGGAGCTCCGGACTCTCTGCTGCGCTCTCTTCACATCCAGAAGGACCCGACGGCTTACAACTACATCAAAGTCGGAGGCCAAATTAAGGTAGCCTCAACAATTTACAGACAAGTCACCTTTACATACACACAATAACCTCACAATAAAACAAAAAAGAATGAGGCAGAGGGAGCAGAAGTCAGAGAAAGTGTCAGTGTGTTTGCAGACGGGTAAATACGAGTGATGCCTCACAGATTAAAAATAAAAGTTTTTAAACAAACCGCACACATCACAGTTTTTTATTTTAAGCGCTGAGTGTCACATGCAGAAGACGTGTTTTTAATGATAATGTACACATGAGTGCTGTGTGTCTGAGTTGTTTTCTAAACACACCTCTGCTGTGCATCGCCGCCCTTACACAAGCTTAACGAGCGGGGAACAAAACCGCTTGACAGCAACAAACAGTCTGATGTCATGGAGCACAGTGCAAACAAACAGCTGAGGCAGCGGTTTGTGTTCTGTTTGCCTCAGCGGCTCTCTATTTTTACATCCAGACATTACAGTCCGACAGCAGTTTGTAATTTAATCAACTGTGGGAATATGATATCCAGGTTGGAGTGAGTGGAAGAGGCTTTGAATTCAGGAAAAACAACCCATTAAACACACAATTTTGTTTTCACTTCTGCAGAATTTTGCAATTACAGGAAAACAAGTTGTTAAAAAAAAAGCTGGCTAAACGTTCCTCTGAGTCATCCTGTAAACTTGTTTTTTATTCTTGCAACTTGTTCCTCCGTTCCCTCTCCAGTCTTCCATCAACGACGGAGCAGAATTCAAAGCTGTAGCAGATGCCATGAAAGTGATCGGCTTCACGGCGGACGAGATTCAGACTGTTTACAAGATCCTGGCCACCATCCTGCATCTGGTAATACTCCATAATATAAAAATCCCTGCTTATCTCCCGCACCAGCTGGGACCCAACTGTGAACGCTCTGAGTGTAGATGTTGGATAAATGAGTGCCATGTTGGATAGAGCGGAGAAGCATCCTAGCAAGGACAATGCGTGTTGGGTTCATCTTTATTTGATCTTTTCTGCTGTTTGCTGAAACACTCAAGTCCAAAATAAAAGCCATGTTCGCCTCATGAAACACAGACTGCCCCCTAACCCATTTAACCCAAACAAAAATATAATTAAACCCATGCAAACATTGGAATTAAGCCTGTGGTCAAATTGAAATTGAATCCTTACTAAAGTTTAAATAAAACACACCCATCTAACAGTAAATAAATACTCTAGAACCGAACCCTCTGGTGGCCTTCTTTGGTACTACAGGAGACGATGACGCACGCCTCTGTGATGAACTGTTTTAATCGTACATTTTAAGTTTTACAAATTGGATGCTCATTTTTTGTAACTTGCCTACATTAGATTTTTCTTTACAGTATTGAACTTTATTTTAAATGATCTCCATTTCTTTTCTTTTCTTCTCTCGTTTCATCATATACAACCTGGATTCTGGCCCCTTCTTGTGTCTGAACTCCAGGATTTAGCATTAACGTAAAGTCATATGAAGCTCCGGCTGGTAAATGGGGACTGAAGGGGATGAAACTTGTATCGTTTGTTAATTTCAGAGACTCACCTTACATCTCAATATTCTGGGTACATTAATTAAAAATATTCTTGAGGAAACAAATACTGGAACTAGGAAGAGCCAGGAATATGGAAAGCCATGCTAGCTTTATTTTTTTAGGAACAGACTCCCAGTGTGACTGAAATTAGCAAGGAGAGGTAAATAAATCGATCCTCTTCCGCCTGTCTTGCAGGGAAACCTGACGTTCGGGGTTGACGGTGACGTGACGCTGATAGAGAACCCGAAGCTGGTGTCTGTGATCAGAGATCTGCTGTCCACCAAAGAGGAAAACGTGGAGAAGGCCATGCTGTACCGAACTGTGGCCACGGGGCGAGACGTCATCGAAAAACAGCACACGACGCAAGAGGCCAGCTACGGGCGGGACGCTCTAGCAAAGGTATTTACTCTCTCTCTTTGTCCTTATTGAGGGAATGTGACTTGGTCTTACGAGCTGCAAAGAAAAAAACCTGAAATAACTTCAACTTCTGTTACCCTGGACAGTTGTGACATTCTGTTAAGTGCTTGGCAAATTTGTGCTGCAATTCACACGAGCGTGAGTCACAATGTTATGACTGCAGACGGAGGCTGGAGACGGCAGGGGAAGAAATGCATGTGGGCAGATTGAGGACCAGCACTGCAGTCTGACTCACCGTTTGTGTGACATTTCTCTCTCAGCCACCATCTGTAACCCCGCTCATTGTCTGTGTGCTGGCCCGCTCTGTGCTGCTGAGGGAGGCAATTGGTCACCAGTTGAATGTGCTTGAATTATCATCTTTACTCTGCGTGTGTCAGAAGGAAGATATTTGGATAAATTTGGTTATGGCCCACGAGTAAATTATACATTTTGCCGGGTTTAAGTCTTGAACAAAATACATACATATGATCAGAGCTCCTGCTAATTATGTTTAGGGTTAGGTCTAGTCCACATGTAGGAACTGAGGTTCTCAAAAACATCTTCATCCACATGAAAACTCAAAACGCAGAACGCACGGCTGTCATGAGTGCTCCAAGTCAAAAACGATGTCAATGCAATGACCATTTCATTTTTACAAAGTTCTCCATTCAGGCGCCTCTGCTCGTCAACATAGTGGGAGCACAAATCAAATACCTACTAACTTACTGATGATGGTCTCCATATTATTGATGATGATGATGGTAATGACGATGGTTTTTGTTTGATAACGACGACTTATAAGATGGTTTCTATACTGATTAGAGCTCTCAAGAACTGCCCTCAATGTTGTGCTTTGCCTCTGGTCACTTCCTGTCAGCACCTGTGTGTCCAATCAGACTCAAAGCTGATCGTTTGCTCTTACTGACATTGTTCCCTTTTTTTCTAGATCCTTCCTTGTGTTGTACTTACTCTCTGATGTACGTCGCTTTGGATAAAAGCGTCTGCTTAGTGAATTGTAGATTTGTAGCAATCTGTGGCAGTACTTTTTTTGGCCACTTGAGGGCAGCAGAAACAAGCTGTAAACATGAGACTGACCTTTCATCACAGATGCTGCAGTGTAGGAGAAGTGGATGTTCTCCAGGTTAGAAGAAGTGAAGCTATTCTCGGTGTGCCTTTACCTTGCCGTTTTTTTTTGGCCAGCAGGGGGCAAATCTGCTGTTTGAAATAATACTAATGGTTGTACAGAAGTCTAAAAGAAACAATGCTTCTTCTTACTTGATTTAATACCTCAATAAAGATATTTTTCTTCATGGAGTCAGCCATGAGATTTTAAGTCGTTTTCAACACAGCATAATGTTCATTTTGTAAATTATGTGCCACATCAATGTAAAATAGGGGATCTACCATAGACTGTAAATATTAAAGGATGAAGCCTGAGTGAAGTCAGCCATCTGTTCCTGCAGGGGGCTCCGGATGCACTTGCTTAATTTTTCAAGACCAGAGGTTGCCGCATGGTATCTACCCCCGTCCAAATATGTTTCCCCTCTGGCTCCAAACCCCCAAAAAAACCCAAGATGGACAAATGTAGAACTCCAAAGCAAGAGAGCCCTCATGGTGGCTACATTAACTTCATATACAGTCTATGATTTCACTCTTTTGAAAACAATTCTTTTTGTGCACCCTCAGGCCATGTACGAGCGTCTCTTCTGCTGGATCGTGGGACGGATCAACGACATCATCGAGGTGAAAAACTACGACGCCAGAATCCACGGGAAGAACACGGTTATCGGGGTGCTGGACATCTACGGCTTTGAGATTTTCCAGAACAACAGGTTTGGACGATTACAGAAAATTCCGCTTATTATCACAAAACAACAAAAACGATTTAATCTAAACATAAAACAATGAATAATGATTGTCTATATTTAATATTTATTTGGTTTAACACACAGCAAGGATAATGCAGCAATGTGTACAATAACTAATAGAGAGTTAGTTGCATGCACAAAAACTCACTTTTCATTTCTTGTGGTGCAGCTTTGAACAATTCTGCATCAACTACTGTAACGAGAAGCTGCAGCAGCTTTTCATCCAGCTGGTGCTGAAGCAGGAACAGGAAGAGTATCAACGAGAGGGAATCCCCTGGAAACATGTAAGGAGCACATTTTTTGGTTCCTACTCTTGTTTTGTTCTTATTTTATTCTCCTGTGGGGCTGTCCTCTTTTTATCCTCTGTGTCCTGTGTTGTTAGATCGATTACTTCAACAACCAGATCATTGTGGATCTAGTGGAGCAGCAGCACAAGGGGATCTTCTCCGTGCTGGACGAAGCCTGCATGAATGTGGGCAAAGTGACGGACGAAGTGTTCCTGCAGGGACTCAACGGCAAGCTGGCCAAACACGCCCACTACACCAGCCGCAAGGTAGGAAACACTGAAGAGTACACGTCTTGTTATTTTGACTTCAAGTTCAATTTAAGGTTTGCTTGATGAAGGTCTGGTAGCGACACGTTGCCAATAAATGTTTGTTTGCAAGTGAGAGCCATTTTCTGCTCGCAAAAATCTTTGAACCCCAACGCATGATGGTATATATTGCTCGGTAAATGGACTTGAGCTTGAAGAGCGCTTTTTTAGTCTTCTGACTACTCAAATCGCTTTTACACCGTATGTCACACCTACACATTCACACACTGATGGTAGAGGCTGCAGAGTAAAGTGTTCATCAGAAGTGACTAAACCGATTCATGTAAATGTACCTGAAATGAGCGTGATCTAGAAACACAGTTAAGCAGTGAGTACAGTATGTTATTCTTCTTTTCTCTAGTCCCTCAATTAAACAACTTTTATACACGAGGGAAGGAGTCAGCCGGCCGTCCTGGCGATGTAAACAAACTGAAGATAGGACTCTGAAAACTCTGAAAACATCACAGACAGTGGGACTCGGGTGTTACACCCATTGTAGACAGTCATGACTCACAGAGTTATTTTCAGAGGAGATACTTGATTTCTACAATTAAGTGTGAAAAATCACATTTAAAAACTTTAAATTTCCCATGAGAGCCATGAAAAGTGTGTGAAGTCCTGCATTACAAAATGACTCAATTGCACTAGTCCATCGAGGTTGTACACTTCTTTCCACAATGCATTGTGGGATACAATGAGTGGACTATATAGGGTATGATTATGCTCACTCAGAATTCAGACACTACCACAAAATGGCATGTTCACTTTATAACTAATAGTGAGTGAATTCTGACACAGCCTATGGTGTCCGTAAGCCTGAGTGGAATGCAGATTTTCTGGTGCATGAATGTTGTTTT